CATATGACATTGTTTATTTAAATTTTCTAGAGGTGTAAATTTCAAGTTAGCTTTTGATCATCTGAACAGGTAAATTTAGCAAAGACAAAGAGGCTTACATTCTTAGATCTGATTAGACCTTGAGTAAAGAGAGACATTTTTAAGTCATTGGCAGCAATATCTGCATCTATTACCTTTTTTTGTTTGTTTGTTTTTTGTTTTTTGTTTTTCATGGCAGGGTTTCTCTGTGTAGTTTTGGTGCTTGTCCTGGATCTTGCTCTGTAGACACGGCTGGCCTCGAACTCACAGAGATCTGCCTGGCTCTGCCTCCTGAGTGCTGAGATTAAAGGCATGTGACACCACTGCCTGGCTCTATTACCATTTTTAAGGCCCAATAGTTCTGATCTTTGAGTACAGACAGATTATAATCCTGAATGATTTCTTAAGGTCATATAATACCTCTTTGGCCTGCATAAAGGCCAAGTGTCTTTTCCTATTGCAGAACCATTTTAGGTAATAAATCTATTAATTGGCAATGTTGGGTCTAGTTTCCTATATATCAATGGGATAGCCAGTTTGTCCCCGATGCCAGGGGTCTACCTTTAACTTAGCTTTTAGCCTGTTTTGGGATAGGAGAGCACAGGACAATGTATTTTCTTCCATAACTGCTTCAGGCTGAAATGGTGTGCAGATGGTCAGAGCCCAAGGAGGCCGAGAGGCTAGTCAAAGTTAAGGAGGGAACCCAGGGAATGGGGTATTTATCAGAAGCATGTGGTCATCTGATCTGGCTGTAGTGACAGGGAACAATTATGTTTGGTTGGACTGGTCCACATCCTATCAGCCTTCAGCAAGTCTAGAGCTTGTGGTTCTTTGGAGAAGATTGTAGCAATTGATGCTTGGATGTGTCTGCCAGCCAAGTGGAAACATGCTGAAGCAGATAGACTAGAGACAAAAGTTAACATTTATGAACTTGTTTGGAACATTTAGGCCCATGGTCTTAGTAATTGGGAAAGGGAGACCAGGAAAGAGAAAAATACCATCCCCAGGAATAGACAGACAGGTGAGGAAAAGTCATTTATCTGGAGCAGATGTGGGACATCTGAAAAACAGCAGTGGACTCATACCTATAAGTTTATATTTGGAAGACAACCAAAGAAAATCCAAAATCCTGAGTTTGTGACCCAAACTGCACCAGAATTCTATCAACATTAAAATATGAAATTTTAAAATCTTAATATATAGAAAGAGAAAGTAATCTGAAGCATTTAAATCATTAATTTATGTTGAGAGACCTAGTAGCTTTAGGAAAAGTAAGGCTTGATTTTTTTTAATCTATAAAATGAGCTGGCAAGTGGGCCATATCACCAGCATGTGGCACCACTGATGCCCTAGAGCCCTGAAGGGGAGAAGATAGGTCTCCAGGCCCCACCCACACAAGCATGAGAGTGGCAGCAGAGGAATGCCAGGCTGCTACCCTATGGGCCTGAGTGCCAGGTACCCTGCCCATGCTTGAGCCAAGGACAGAAAGTGACTTTTTGCTGCCCTTAGTAAAGATAGTGGCTAGGTCATACGACCTGTCACCCTTTGACCTTAGCCAAGATGGCGCCTGACCATGTGATTGGCCTTATCAAATATGGCAACTGACCACGTGGTCACCTCTTTTTTTTTTTTAAGACATATGAACACATATGGAGACATAAACAAGCATTCACAAGTCAATCAGGTGACCACCTCAATCATACATTTCCATTGACACATATGAAATAACAGTTCTCCCCCGACCCCCAAGGCTATAACCAGCTTGGTAGCTCGTTAGTTCATTAGTTAAGTTTCCTGTTAAAAGTACAGACAGGTGTGCCTCATTCATAGGCTTTAAGGTAGGTAGCACTGACTACAAACAGTTTTCAAGAATCCTTAAATTTCTGTGGACTTTACTGATCCCAGCTTTTAGAAATGCATAGAGGCTTTTTGCTCAGACACCAAGATGTGAATATGTTCCAGTTGTTTTATAGACACTTACAGGTTCCTATACAGGTCTACCCCTTCTGCCAGACTCATGCCAAGGCCAACCTGCAGGGGGCCCTCCAGATACTCCAGCCCCTGTACCAGCTCAGAGGACATCAACTGGGCAAGTACTGACAGGTTGATTTCACCCACATACAAGCTCCTGGAACATCAGTGCTGGTACCACCCCTCCAGATTCAAGGGCATATCTGCTCTTTCATCTGGCTCATTCACCCCTGCCTCTTCTGTACAACCAGGGCACTCTCCATTTCATTTCATTTTTTTTTTTTCGGTTTTTCGAGACAGGGTTTCTCTGTGTAGCTTTGCGTCTTTCCTGGAACTCACTCTGTAGACCAGGCTGGCCTTGAACTCACAGAGATCCGCCTGCCTCTGCCTCCTGAGTGCTGGGATTAAAGGCGTGCATCACCACTGCCTGGCCCATTTCATTCTTTTTCCCATGGCTAGTCCTGTTCATAGGGCAGGTGTTAATAATCAGTTTTTTCTTCTAGCAACCTGCCTTCTCTGCCTCCTCAACAAACAGATGACTGAGGTCTCCAGAATGACAGGTAACCAAATGCTTCTTTACTCACACCTTCCAATGAGTGTGACTCCCCCTCCCCATGTCGTCCCATGCCCCCAGGAAGTAGCCAGACTTGAACTGGCACCCCTATACTCAAGGAGTCTGGGATGATTAGGTGGAAGTTCCACCTCTCTCTCTCCCCAGACTCTGCCCCTAAGAAAGCCCACCAAGAGTCAGCCCCTCCCCAGGGTTGCTCAAGACCACACCTACAGGCTGCTTAAGACCTGGTTGCCATACCGGCCATGTACTCTCATGTTCTCTCCCCTGCCTTCCTGGGAATCACCTGGGATTTGCTTTGCTCTGCTCATTAAACCTGGACTTAATAATTCGGCCTGATCTGACTTATTACATTGGTGGCACTACTCACTACCAGGGGATTGAAACTTTTCAGAAAATAGCCACTTATTTGCATTTTTTGTTCCAGATGAAGACAGTAGTAACCCACTGAAAGGATGTCTTTGAAGTTCACTGACTCACACTCCCACACAGTAGTCTTAAGGGACTAAAATCCCTATTTCTTGGACAAGAGGAACCAAGGTTGGCTCCAAAGCCTGTGGTTCAGAATGGTTTTTGGTTTCATCCTGCACTCCACCTTGGCAAATGTGTGCAGATTTCATGCTTGATACTTACTACTTATCAACAGTTCCTTCTGCTTGAGTTTTACAAAATAATTAGTGTAAACTAGAATTAATAGAGAATGTCTGTACTTCATATATTATAGCTTTTTAAGAATAATCAAAATAGCAGTGCTAGGTGGGTAGTTCAGGGGAAGATGATATGAATGTGGCTTGCTGGCTTCAAATACTAGCAACAGCCTCCAGCAGAAAAAGAGAATATCTTAAACTAGCCATTGTACCACACGCTTGCCTTGAGGGACTGAGAGAAGAACGTTGCTGAGATTTCAATGCCAGCCTGAGCTACACAGCAAGACGCTGTGCACAAAGAGGAGGAGGAGTGGGGACAGTGGAGGAAGGGAGAGGAAGAGGAAGAGGAAGAGGAAAAAGAAGGAATATAGAGGGAAAGAAAGAACAACCTAAGCATGTGACTGATTCTTAAATCATTTGAATAAATGTTACTGCTGTGGATATTGCTCTATATATAAATAAAACACTGATGGCCAGTGACCAGGCAGGAAGTAGGTGGGACAAGGAGAGAGGAGAATTCTGGGAAGCGGAAGGCTGAGGAGAGAGACTGCAGCCACCACCAGGACAAGCAGCATGTGAAGACGCTGGTAAGCCACCAGCCACGTGGCAAGGTATAGATTTATAAAAATGGGTTAATTGAAGATATAAGAACAGTTAG